TAATGGAATGACACGAGTAGTAGCAGAGTTTGGAACTTTTTTTTAGTTTATCAGCTTATCTGATAGTCTGTGACCTCACATGACCCAGTGATAGTGGTAGGTGCAGTGGTAGCGGTAGTGGTAGTGGTAGTAGTAGTGGTAGGAGTAGCGGTAGGGGTAGTGGTAGCAGTAGAGGTAGTGGTAGGGGTAGTAGTAGCGGAAGTGGTAGGGGTAGTGGTAGGGTAGTAGTAGGGTAGTGGTAGGGGTAGTGGTAGTGGTAGTGGTAGGGGTAGTAGTAGTAGTGGTAGGGGTAGAAGTAGGGGTAGTGGTAGGGGTAGTAGTAGGGTAGTGGTAGGGGTAGTGGTAGTGGTAGTGGTAGGGGTAGTGGTAGTGGTAGGGGTAGTAGTAGTTGTAGGGGTAGAAGTACGGGTAGTGGTAGGGGTAGGGGTACTGGTAGGGGTAGTGGTAGGGGTAGTGGTAGAGGTAGTGGTAGTGGTAGAGGTAGTGGTAGGGATAGTGGTAGGGGTAGGGGTAGTGGTAGGGGTAGTGGTAGGGGTAGTGGTAGGAGTAGTGGTATGGGTAGAAGTAGTAGAAGTGTGGTACAAGCCGATCCAATGTGACGTGGTGACCTATACGACCTGGCCTCACCGAAGGTGACCTAGCCTGACCCAGTGTGACCAGGGATGACCATCTTGACCTGACTTGACCCCGTACGACCCAAAGTTCATCCAACTAAGCCCTCAAAATAGTTTTATGTTCAAATTTTCCTCTGCACGTGTCCGTCCATATCTCTGCTTCCAGACGACAGACCGATTTAAATCAAACACCATTCGAAAGCAAATTGGCTGGTGCCGCATGTTCTGGCTACGCCGCGAAGCAAGTGGCGCAGCCGCTTGTCTACTATACTATTTGTTGAATGAAACTCTGTCTGTGTGTGTGTTTGCACTGTTATACTGGTCATAAGTTAATCGGAGAAAGCTGAAATGCGCCGCTTTTACTGGTGTTAGCTTTGATCACGGATGTTGCTTTCATGCATTTAGGCCAGGTCGCGGGTTAGGTCAGGTCAGGTCAACCAGTAGGAGTCCTGCCGGCTATTCGTAGCACGTTACGAGCCACCGCCGGCCACGGGTGGTTAGGCGACTGCAGCGCCGTCTACCGTTGTGTTACTATAACTAACAGGAAGCCAAAGCGTTCATGGAAGAATCTTGATTAAAAAATGGCCAACTGGATGTACTTTCAAAAAGTGCAAAATCCTATTTTGAAAGTGCATACACTGATTATCACATTGTGTTTAGTTTGAATAGTCTCGGCAGCATATAAGTTGTGGCGAAACGCGGATGAAATATAAGTCACTGTTTCCAAGACAACCAAAAGCCTTACTTATCAATAACCCGCGCCCTGGCGGGGTCTGTAAACCCGCGCCCCGTTGGGGTCTGCCGAGCAGCGCACCCTGCTGGGGGGGGCAATTTGCCCCCCCCCTTAGATCTCGAGAACCACACAACATAGCGACAAGAGGCAAAGGTGTTGGATAGCCCTATCAGGGAACGACCTTGTGACCCGATTTCATTAACCTAGGTCAAACCGATGACGTCACAGGTCAGGACAAAGGTAAAATTTTCACCGTTTACAGGCATTTCAAAAAATGCGTTGTAAAATCGAGTAAAATGCATTTCATTGAAAATCATCGATGGGAAAATGTTCGTCAAACACATATTTTGCTATTTGAGGTCACTGATACCAGGTCAGGTCACAGAGGTCAGGTCACTGAGGGTCACAACACGATATTAAAATATCATGTGATGCATGTTTTATGGTCCATTTTATATGCCGAATACCATTGTATATGCCCAAATGTGGGTCAGGCACAGGGTTGTGCTTGACTCATGAGTCGAGTCAGAAATTTGACTCAACTCTGACTCAAATGAGTCAGATTTGAGTCGAGTCGGATAAAATGTTGAGCTGTTGAGTTGAATCAGAGTTGAGTCGGACAAAAATATTAAGGCGTTGAGTTGAGTCAGAGTTGAGGCAGTAAAAAAAACTTTTGACATTGAGTTGAGTCAAACATTTATGAACATGAGTCAGCTGACTCAACTTTCTATAAACAAGCTTTTCATTCCCCCCCCCCCCCGCTTAACAACTTAGCCCTGGCCCTGCTGCCGGAATTTTCACCCCCCCCCCCGCTCAACAACTTTTTTTATCCGAGTCAATTTTGAGTCAACTCACTTGACTCAACAAAAAAAAATTGAGTCAAGTTTGAGTCGACTCATATTTTCACTGAGCCGCTTGAGTCATGAGTTGAGTCAAGGGAAAAAATCAGCTCCTTGTTTGAGTCAGAGTTGAGTCAAGACTTTCTGAAGTTGAATGATAAGTCGAGTCGGCAAATTTTTTTTTGAGTCGAGCACAACCCTGGTCAGGCAGGCTTTGGGGTCTGTTTAGATTATGTTCTGGTGAAGGTCAGGTCAAGGTTAGGTCAAGGTCAAGTCAAATTAGGTCAAATTTCAAAGTTGATATTTTTGCATAAAATGGGTATCGATTCGATGCCGCTCGTCACGGGGAGTTTAATGGTGGTCTTTGTTTTGCGCTACGTGGTCTACAATTGCTAACAATTGAGTTCAAAAATTCTGACGTCATCAATTTTGAACCACTTTTCGCTATAACTTGGCAAAAAAGGAGGCACCGATCTGAAATGGACGCCATTTAATTGCGTCCCAGAAAAGCTATTTCTGGCACCTAAAAGCTGACTCGCCCCAAAATTAGTCCTCAGCACCTATTTGGTGGATACCAGCACCAATCATGGAAAATGACCTTAATTAGCTGTTTCTGGCACCTATTCATCGGTACGCCTTACTCTTTTTTTCTGAATCTGGCACCTAAATGCTGAGCGTAGCACCAATCTAGTAGAAAAATGAACTACTGGCTGGTAGAATCATGCTGTTCTGGTATAATGACCCCTGGAGTCTAGCCTAAAGGTTGCCAGTGCAGCTACACTCTAAGACAGCCCCGTAGTGATCTCAGCATTGTATATGACGGTTAAGTAAGCAAATAATATTGATTTGTTTGAAAAAAACAATGTCATTTAAATATTTTAAATTATTTATTTGCAATGCTTAAAGAGAAACATTTTTGTGAGTAATTGTCTCGATTTTGACCATTACAACGGGTATTGTATTTTTTGACGTCATCAAATAGCTCCAAAAAAGAAATGTAATGTTTTCATTCCGTTCAAGGCCGCTGAAGAAACGCGGGATCTTGCGTGGGACATTGTCCGTTGTTTGCCGTGCAGAGTTGTGCCGTGGTTGTGCATTTTTCATCCGTTTCTTACTTAAGTGTGCATGAAGCTTTGATTTTGTTTTTGGTTATTGTGTGGCCGGTCAGTCAAACGCCCCTGTAGAAACCGGATGCTGCGTTTGATCGAGATGGAGTCAGACGATGATTGCAGAAAGCTAATAATATTGAAAAGAGGGCCGGTTGCGTGGCATGTCTCTGTTCAGAGTTGACATTTTGCTTTACTCCAGTTTATGACCTGAGAGCCTGGCTGGAAGTGACGGATCCAAACTTTTCACGCTAAAATGGCTGAGGGTGCAATAATCTCTACATAGCGGGCTGGTATAGGAGCGTCTTGCTATGCTGCACCATAGCTGGCTAGTGATTCTCTTTTGGCTAGAAATGGCATTAATCATTATCTCCACTGGCGAAAATGGCACTTGACATCACCGAATGCAACGTTCATGTTTGTTAGGATACATAAAATCAGGAAGATTACGCGAATTAGGTAGGCAAACGTGGAATAAAATAGGTGCTGGATGTTTTGGTTTTGGTGCTGAATCAGCAAACAGCAAATACGGAGTTCAACTAGACGATCTGGCAACTTTAGGCTGTGTGGAAGCAATTAGGTGCCAGATTCAGATATTAGGGTCGAATAAGCATTTTGGGGCTGATCAGCAATTAGGTGCCAGAAACAGCTTTTTAGGGACCAGAAACAAATATTCCCCATCTGAAATTGTGTGTGTATATCGAAGAGCGCAGGGACTGTCACATATATTCCGTTTTTTCGAAATTCGGAAAAATGTTGGGATTTTTTTTGCGTTTTTCGAAAAAGAAATCAAGTTTTTAACTTCTGGGGGTCAAAAACCCAAAATTTTGAAAATCCGAGATTGAAGTTTTATAGCGCCGCCTTTTGTCTACATGACCATATAAAGAACTTTGAAATTGCTTGGTAACTATATTTTGTGAGTGTTTCAAGATTTCATGTTTTTTGCTCATTTTTGCTCGAACATGACCTCAGATTGACCTCAATAATTCCTGACCTAAGGTGAACTTAGACTTGCAATTTTGTGTGAAAGTGTCAAATTGATGCCCGGGAAGGTACTGAAAATTTGGCGGCGCTGCGCGCCGCCGTTTTCTTGCTATTCAGGGAAAACCACAGGGGGCCAAATTGCCCCCCCCCCAAGCGGGGCGAGGGTTAACCCTCGCCAGGCGAGGGCCTTTTCCATAACACGGACGGCGAGGGGGTACGACCCTCCTGGCGATTGGCTCCTATGGCAAGTTTAGAAATGCCAAATTTACAGGGTAGATGGGTCCATAGGAGATCTCGCCGCTGTGAAAGTTTGGTGACTCTAACTAAGACTTGAAATTTTGTGTGAGGGTGTCAAATTGATGCCCGGAAAGGTACCGAAAATTTGGCGGCGCTGTGAGCCTCCGTTTTCTAACTATTCAGGAAAAACACAGGGGGGCATATTGCCCCCCCCCCCCTCCAACGGGGCGAGGGTTAAGTATGTAAAAAGTATGGTTTATGGTAGGACCCGGTTGGACCCGTCAAAAAAAAAATCCAGGAACCGGTGTGGACCCATAATGGTCCAGACTGGTTACATGGGCCGGTTCCCCCGGTCCATATTTTGCCATCTCTAAAGGTGACCTCTTGCTCTTCCTTCCCTAAAGAGATGAAAATACCTTTATTGAGTTTTGTCCGTGAAGTTGGCGTTGACGCCAGCTCATTTGATTCTCCTTCTTTTTTTTTTCAGGTCACCCTATCGGCAAAGTCCCTGCCAGAGCACACCAGGCGTGTCACTATAGAAAACGTCAAGGAGCTAGTAATTGAAGCAAACGCCATCACCTCTCTGGCCCACCTGGAAGTCATTCAACTCCATAACATCGGTACGTTGACTCTCTTGACGCGCTCTCTTGCACGCGACAGAGAAACCGGCCCAATGGATCTGCTAATTAACGACGTGCAGAACCTCGAGGTGCACAAGGAGACGTTTTCAAAATGGCGAAACCAATCTAAGGTCCATATCAGCGGTGTAGAAAACTGTCAATTGCTCGACATGGCCTTTGCATCAACGCATCTTCGTTCTCTGTCCATTCAGAAAGTAACTAGCCTGGATATCAAGCAAGGCGCCTTCAGTGCAGCTTCCTCTATCGACAACATGAGGATGACGGAGATAGAATCTTTGTCCATCTCTACAGGAGCAGTCACATCCAATGTCACTCTGAAAACAATGAAAATGGCAGACATCGATGCCCTGTCGTTGCAACCGGGGGCATTCGCACATGGTTCAACGATTCACGAAGTAAATATAAAACGAGTGCCGAACCTCCATATTGCCTCAGGTGGAATCAATTCGATCATAGACAACGTTAAGCTGAGCGAGGTTAGCATGGAAGCTTGTGAGGGACACACTTTCGGTAGCTCGATGAAGTCACTTGCAATGGTTTCATCGCATATCAACCGGACAAAAACCAACTGTATTTCGGCCGTGAAGACCAAACTGCTTCTGGAGGCCTGTCAGATCGATCTCGTCGAGCCTCTGGCAATTCATGGAGCAATCGAACTTGTCGAAATCAGGAGCAGTGACTTCGGGATTATTGACAGAGAAGGGCTGAGGGTGAACGTAGCAAAGCTATCCGTCGAAGAGAGCGCTTTTGATAAAGTGTCTGATCGGGCACTGGCTGTCCACGCTACAGAACAAATCGATTTCAAGGACTGCAACATCAATATCTTGCAAAATAATGCTTTTGACCTCCTTCGCATGAAAGCAGACGCCCAAGAACAAATCATATTGGACAATCTCAAGATCAAGACACCCGAGGAGGGATCTTTGCGATTCACCCGCAGGCAAAACATCCTGATACAGCAGCTTGAGATCGGTATTCCGTGCAATTGTCCTATGGCAGATGTAGCGACAGCACTAGGGCTGGGCGATGAGGAACACGGCAATAATGATGGCATCAGAAGGCTGCCTCTTCAGATCAGTTGTGAGCACAACGGTAGCTGGCCCACTTTGGCTGAGTACCAACTACAGTTTTGTCCGGACTTGCCAGCTGCTCCGTCGACCACCACTGCTCTGCCGACTACCAGTGTCCTCGCCACAACCATCAGCATGCCCAGAGAGGACAGGCCAACGCTTCAGCCTCAGAGCAGCGCCGGAGATTCCCCAGAGCAGGGCCCTCAAAGGGCTTCTCACACAATGCACCAGCACGGAGATTCCCCGGATCAGGTCCAGACCGGCAGCTCCCACAATCTGATCCTGATCCTCACCACCACTTGTGCCGTCCTGATTGTGCTAGTCGTCATCGCCTTATTTGCCCGCCGTCACTTTGGACACTTGCCGCGGCACCCATCTACTCCAGGGCGAAATTTCTGGCGACGTATTTTTACCAGAGATCAGCAGACGAGCGGATCTTCCCAGCCCCTCACAATCAGCGCACCGATCCTTGGCGTAACCGGACCAGCCTGCAGCACGCCCCACCAGGCATCAGTCCAGAGTGTCACAGACAGCCAGGCCAGTACTGGACCCACCGAGTCACACACCAGCCGAGGGACGGTTCAGGGGACTGACTCGCCAGGCATTCATCTCCTGTCTCTAGAAGCCCAGGGAGGAGCTCACGGTGGTTCGTGGCAGGAGCCGCGGTATTACGTGGATATCCCCGTCGACATCAGACCGCCCAGTCAGCGACTCGTGCGGCCAAGACCAGCTCGGACGCACCGTTCAGGGGGAGGCGCACGTGAGAGCAGCCGTGCGCGGAGCGAGCGACGTGACTGGGAAAGCTACCAGATGAATCGGCAGAAGGACCCGCGAATCCAACAGCTGGCGCGCGACCCGCGCTGGGCGCGCGGCGAGATCCTGCTGGACCCGGAGTTTTAGGGACAGCTGATCAGATACCTATGTAAAGTTGCGGTAGGTAGCATGGGCTGTAATTACGAGCTGTGTGTCAAATAGAACTGCTGCTAAATCACGTAGCGATTGTGCAATGTGAAGTACAAAATTCAAACAGGGTCAGTCAGAATCGGCCGTGATGCCTATTGGCCTGACACGCGGGTTAAGGGTGCTTGAGTGTGCTTTGGTTACGTAACCAAATCAATGTTTAGTCTATCTATTGGTGCTTTGTTAGATATTACCCAGTCAACAAAACTTCTATTAAAGCAATGCAACAATGCTGTGATATTGATGTTGAAAGTCAATGGGTCATTACCTAAGTACTTTTTGTGTTTTGAGAGATGTGTCGATCGAATACGAGTGCCTGTGCATCGTAATTCTTACGGTAGGTATACCTATTTCATAGTTATGCAATGTAATTGGCTTGCGTTAAGATGCAGAATGTATAAATGAATGAATGAGTAATGTTTTGTACAAAATGCTGCTATTCAACCCTCCCCCGCATTGGTGTTTGCCGCGAACGTATAGGGGGGGGGGGGGGTGGACCCACCTTGCCGTTTGGCCCCTGATCGAAATAGAGCTTCGCGGAAAAAACGACGAGAGAAAGCCGCGACGAGAGAAAGCCGATGATACCCAATTTTAAGGTCCTAGTTCATTGGTTGACCTTCCAGGTCAGGTCAATGACCCAAAAGTCTGGAAAATCGGGAGCTGTTAGAACGTCGTAAAGTGTGGTTGCTATGTTTTTTTTTTTTAGGTGCTGATCACGAATATCATGTTCATTTTAATCACAGATGATGTCTTCATGCATTTAGACCAGGTCGGGTCAGGTCAGGTCAGGTCAACCAGTATGGATCCTGCATATACCATACATGACTTCATATACGATCAACCTTCACTACCTTGAGGTCTGTTTTGCTGTTGGGCAGCTGTGAGGTCATGTGACGTCATCAAAGGTCACCAAAGGTTTTTGGCCAATAACTCCGTACAGGAACAAGATACAGACGCGTGGATGGTCTCATTGTGTTCAGCTCGTCAAGACGCATCGAATGATATACATGATGACCTCGAGGTCACGTGACCTGAGGTCAACCTTTGACCTTGACCTTTCGAGGTCAACATATATATCATTCGATGCGGATTGACGAGAGGATCACGATGATGCCCTTAGTTTGTTCCTATCTTGACTAATTCGAAAGTTATTCGAGAAAAACTCTCTCCATATCTAGCGCCGCCATTTTGACTTTTTCGACCCCTGTGACGTCATCTTTGACCTGACCTGAAAATGACCTTAGTAAAAATTGTAGATCTTGGCCGTGCGTATCCGATGCCGTTTACCGCTTGTCGCTATCTTGCTTCGTTCTCGAGATCTCAGGGGGGGGGGGCCGAATCGGCCCCCCCCCCCGCCAGTTTCTTGTCCCGGCGGAGCCCGCCAGGAATAGGGTTAAGTAACGATTTTGTTTAAATGTTGGGGTTTCTTAGCGAAAAAAGCATTCTTCAAAGCTGTAGAATAAGGTTTGGTGAATGTTTAGACACATGTGCTGCTAATTTTTAGGACAAATGATTAATTTTGAATGATTTGAGCACCTCCATGCAAGAGATTGTGGCTGCGGTGAATAGGGACGCCATGTTCTGTCACACCACTACGTTTTTGCAAATGCGACCGGGGTAAATGCGCCACACCCGGGCTAATGTTAATGAAATGGGTAACATTAATAAATGGCTAATATTCGAAAGGCTTAGGCAGACGACAAAACCACAACCAATTTGAGGTCACTGTGCACTTCTGATAAAATTTCTAAAAAACAGATGGCAAATTAATGAAATAATGACACATCGTACAACGCCTTACCTACTTACCAGTAAAACGCCTTTTGGGCGAAGAACGAGCGAGCGAGATAGTGAGCCCTGCACGTGCGGAAGGGTGAGAGGGTGCTTCCAACGGGCTTGCGCAAAGCACCCTTCTAACTGGTCGCTAGCGGTGTGCCAAATTTGAACGCAATCGGCCCAGCCGTTCCTGAGATCTGGAAGCGGCATTCTGCACGTGCGCACGTGCAAACGGGGTCCAAAATGACTTTTGCACGGCACCCTACTAACTGGTCCCCAACCGTGTACCAAATTTGAGCGCAATCGGCCCAGCCGTTCTCGAGATCTGGAAACGCCCCTTGCACGTGCGCACGTGCAGTAGCACCCTAACCGCAACACATGGGAATGCATTGCCTGGTGGGTGCCTACCTGTATGCCAAGTTTCAGCGAAATCGCCCCAGTAATTACCGAGTTACTGAAATGGGAACAAATTTGGCACCTCTTATTGTTGTATTTTGCACGTGCACTGGGGGTGACCCACATGCATCGAGAGTATCCTATTTTGGGTAGAAGGGATGCTGCTACCCTATAAAAATTACCGCAAGTCAATCGCCCAAGCGGCTGCTGAGATATGAGCCTCTCAAAATCACTACTTTTGCAAAACAGCTTGAACACCCTTGACTTTTCACGTGGCACGTGCCAAGACGGTCACTGAGATGTATCAAAAGTAGTCAATTACGGGGTAGAAGGGATGGGGCTACCCAACAAAAAAGACCGCAGGCCAATCGGTCCAGCGGTTGCTGAGATATAAGCCTCTCAAAAGCGTTACAGGCCGGGCCGGGCCGGGCCGGGCCGGGCCGGGCCGGGCCGGGCCGGGCCGGGCCGGGCCGCTCATACTGAGATTTTTCCGTTATATTGAAAAGACTCACTTCGCTCGCTGCGCTCGCTCGCTCGTAATCACTCTTATCTTTACAGCCCATAGCTAATGCATGTATTTGCGGTGGGCGCATTTGAATTCAATTGCGCCATGGTGTGGGCGCATTTATCGAAGGTACCTATTCGACAATTGCGCCCTTTGCAACACTTTCTAAAAAGACCGTGTCTGGCTAATGACTTGAAGTATGCGATAAATTAGTGTCGAAAAAAGGTAGGAAAAAGGTTTCTAAATATAATGTGAAAGCAACTAATCTGTGCTGTCTTTGTATTCCAAGCTACAGCCATTTTCGCTTAACGTGGCGCAATATGGCCACTCTCCCCTAACCCGCGCCCCGCTGGGGGGGGGGGGGGCAGAATCTGCCCCCTCCCGTTTTTCGCCAATAACTTCTAAACGCGTTACGCCAGCGACGTCAAACTTTCAGTACCTTATTATACATCAATTTGACACGTTCCCTGAAAATTGGAGCGAAATCCGTCGGACAATGTTTGAGAAATTGACGTTTTAGTGACGTCATGTTCGCCATTTTCGTCTCAAAAACGGCAAAATTTCAAACGCCGCTAACATCTTCATTTTTAGGGAATCAAGACGTAACAAAAAAGGTTATACGTGATTCTACTTTGTCTATCAAATAAATGGCTTTCTCGGTTTTTTGAAAATTTTGGATTGAAGCCCAAATTTTTTTCTTCAAAAAACTTACTTTTTAGGAAAATAATGATAAAATCCAAAATTTTGAGTGTATCGAAAAAACCGGAATATATGTCAGAGAAGTGGTCTATGTGCACCTACATACCATTTTTTAGAAGAATCGGTTAAACAATGTGGGAGTTATTCAAAATTTTATGACGTCACGACACACAAAATTTTTGAAAAAAAAAAATGATTTTTGTGGAAGTTCTAGACCTCGTACGGAAACAAAAATAGCACCATTCGCTTTGTCGTGAAAAACTGCATCAGATAGACACCTTTTTAGGCCTTAACAACCAACTTCAAAATTTGACCTCGCTTGACCTGACCTTGACCTGACCTCGACCTGAAATTCATCCAAAAGTGATCCATATCACTTATTGAGTGTGCCTATTGAATTCTATGAGTAAAATGACCCATAAAACATGTGTCGCACATGCCCTTTTCTATATTTTGTTTTTGGTGACCTGACCTGACCTGACCTGACCTTGACCTTGACCTTTGAATGACATTGTATGCAACGAATATTGTCTTGGTAGTCTAAAAACACGTTTTGGGCAATCAGTCTCAGTCAATTCTTCGGCAACTACGGTGCAAGGTCGATACTGTAGAAACTTGCATTTTGTACCCTTGACCTGACCTTGACCTGACCTCTGACCTACTTAAGCAAAAAAATTTGAGCCCTTTAGATCCGCCTTGTTGAGAGCTTTCGATTGCCGTTTTCTCCGTCTTTCTACGACCATCGGTTCGGAAGTTAGACAGGGGGGGGGGGGCAGAATCTGCCCCCCCCCCCAGCAGGGCGCGTATGGCTGAATAGCCCAGCGGGGCGCGGGCTAAATCTCAAAAAAGTGAACCGAGGTCATCAAAGGTCAATGACCTGACCTTCAGGTGACCTTTACACCACTTAATGCGTGGAACCAGCATCATATCACATGTTTGAACGCTTGAAACCACGAAAAGGCTGAAAAAGCGCGGCTAATGCGAGCCGACATACGCCGAATCGCGATTCCGGCCAAACAATGTCTCGGGAAATAGGTCACAGGTCGAAGGTCATTTGGGTCAGGGTCATGACATTTTTAAGGTAGGTGTAAAATTGATTAACTCGAGGGTACTAAAAGTTTCGTCGCGATCGGCCGCATTTTACGCGAGTTATTCGCGAAAAACCTAGGGGGAATCAGTTCGACCCTTCCCCTATACGGGCGAGGGTTAAGATTGTCAGACTTCCAATTCGCCAGGTAAGTCAGAAATCACTATATCACCAGTCACCAAAGCTGTAAAATGTTGCACAGTCCCCGCCCCCTTGTCGGTAGGTTCAGCCCATGGTTTCTGAGCAGTGAGCACCCCCCCCCCCCGCTGAAGACTCACCTCATGGTCGGTGAGCAGGGCGAAGGTCAGCACCCCCCCCCCCCCCTCGTAAACTCACCTCGTGATCGGTGAGAAGGGCGAAGGTCAGCACCAATCATACCCTCGTTGTAGACTCACCTCATGGTCGGTGAGCAGTGCGAAGGTCAGTGCCGCCCAGCCGTCTCTGTCGTAGTTGACGCGGTAGTAGCCTCGCTGTTCGGAGTTCACCTTGGTCCAGCCGCCTGGTATCGCCGGAATCTCGATACTGTGGGGACGGTAAGGCACGGTCAAATATATACGCCAACGCCAAACTGGCATTGGATTCAGCCGCCTCGTAGCGCGTGGATCTCGATAGGTACACATGCACTGCCACATTGCTCGACTCGAGTTGGTATGACCCACCCAAATACTAACGGCAAACGTGAATAAAATACGAAATCAAAGGACCAAGGCTACAATCCAAAAAAAAGTTACGAACGGCAAGTGAAGCATGACGATTTGTTGAAAGTCATGACTCATGACACATGAAACATTCTATAGGGTCAAGATTGGTCATTTATCATGACGTCTGAACAACAAGTGGAAACACACAAAGCAGCAGCCGTCCTTAGGAATGTCCTTACCTGTCTTGATCCGTATGGAACCAAACTTGTTTCGGTTTCGGGTCTTCCGATGTAACGTATGTGACGGGAACCTCCCAGCGATAGCTGAAATTGCAAACCATCTTGAAAATTACGCAGTGCTTTTTAAAAATATCGCTATAAACGGGAATATCGTGCGTGGAAAATCAAAATGTCGAATCCCTAGCAACCTCTGGCGTTCAAGATGAAATTAACGACTGCGGTCTGCGGATAGTCGAGACAGTGGCTACGTTTCCATGACACAAGCTAAGCTGATTTTGCAAAATGGATTTGCTCCATCATAGCATTTAGTCAGCATTTAAAAATGTAAACATAGGATTAGGTGCTAGCTAAAACCATATATACGCTCGTTTTTTCCATAAGTTGAATAGTATCTGCGAAAACACACGTAAAATTTCTCTAAATCGATTTAGACGTGTTACGGAAACCTAATGATAGACTGGACTGAGACTATGATTGAATGCTTATTGATTGCATCAGGATTGGATTCGTTTATTTTTCGTATATCTTTTCACATGTCATACCTATCGTGATTTAAATATTTTACTAAATCAATTAGTAGGAAACAAATTACACTAAATCTCAGAATGTCTAAAAACAACTCCACAGCACTCTTATGATAAACTGAACTGAACCGATGCACTGAAACTAACGAACTAGACCATATTACACTGAACTACATAGCTACACGACACTGAATTGTAACGTCCTGTACCGCAGTGCACCACCTTGTGTCAGATATACTGACTTGTACGGACTCTTGGTGGTATCCTCTGCCTCCTTGTCTGCCAGGAACCGTCTCTGGGTGACGGTATAGGTGGCCCCGCCGGCGCCTCGCGTCATCTCCAGTACAGGGAAACCCATCTGACGGGTCCATGTGTCCATTATTTTGGAAATGGGCAGACGTTTGGACGATACCTTGCTCAGCTCGTTCCATAGATCCTGCCCGGGAAGGGAGGGGGGGGGGGGGGTGTCACTGCACGTGCGCTGATGATACCTTACTCAGTTCGGTCCACAGGTCCTGTCGGGGGCTAGGGGATGTCACTGCATGCGCCTTGACGACACCTCTGTTATTCCGGTCTTGACCGGTGGCTTATCAAACAATAAGTAATGAATGAATAGGTACACTAGGCAAATGAGCCATAGTAGTTGGTAAATGTGCAAATAATGCATAGGTAGATGGCGCCACCAGACGGCAGCTCCGTCTAAAGGTTCTGGTTGGATCAGGAAGGTGCTTTGCTAGCGACTGGACTGGGATCGGCCGGGCTGGGATGAGCACCAATAACCTAGAGCTTTAGACCTACCTAAGCTTGGCTGGAGTTATCGAAGCTATAAACCTGATGAACTAGTTAGTACAGTCCTGAGCTAGTACCTAGCCACACTAGTTACTAAACGAGCCATGTGACAGACGTGGGACGCACGTGGACAGGTGCTGCGCTGTGACCACAACAGCCAATTATAAAACGCGCCTGGTCACTCGACACATCTCCTCAGCGCCTCATGTTACGGCGCTGTCTGCCCCTCCTGAGGTGCCATCACTCACCAGCGTCACGGCATTGTCGTAGGCGAAGCGCTTTAGGAAGTTGGAGATGCCCTGTCGGAACTCCTCGTCGCCCATAAATCCTTCCAACATCCTCAGGACGGAGGCACCCTGCGAGGGGCACGACGGAAGGCGTCATCTGAGTTGGGAGCGCTACATTCGATATATCACTATGGCGTCATATATGGCGTAAGGTTACCTAGCGTGCCTCTTACAAAAAAAAACAACATTAGGTGTAAGCTATACTTTATGTAGGTAAGTGAGTAGCACTATCGACTAACTGAGCAAGTGAGACAAGAGTGAGCCTCGCAGCCCTCTCAGATATCTACCCAACCATCCACTAATGTGGTTAGTCTCATATTCCGGACAATGACGAGAGAAGGACCCGGCCCCCAGGCCCCACTACATCAATTGGTGCCGCCAGTCACGTCAGCTCCAGCCCCCCCCCTCCTCCCCTCCCCCGACGGTGGTGACTGACCTTGGCGTAAGAGATGGCGTCAAAGATGGAGGTGATCTGGTCAGGGGTGTCCACCGGCTGGACGATCGGGTGTGAGCTGAGAGTGGCGTCCAGGTCCATGACCCGCTGCAGGTCGTCGGGCAGCAGGTGCGCCTCCTGGGGACAGGTCGGGGTAACCAGGGGTCAGATCGGGGTAACCAGGGGTCAGGTCAGGGTAACCAGGGGTCAGATCGGGGTTAGAGGGGCACAGCGGGCACGACAGGGGTCACAGAGATCACATTAGAGGATCATGGAATTGAGAGGCTGAATGATGTGTTCTTGTAGCTGCCGGTAGAGTTGACAATAAAAATCACTGTGTTTAGGTATCCTAATTCATAATATAATTCCGTAAGGCACGATATCGGTAATATACAGAAAGAGGCATGCGGCTAAATCGCAACAGATCAGATTCTGGGCATAGCCTGTTCACATCTACCTGCTGCCCGAGCAATGACGTGAATTTCATACATTCAGTGAGTTCCTTTCACATCTGTTTACCCCGCATGTTCACAATAGACTCGTTATTCACCGGCACGTTTTGGCTGTCCCGATCTGTACAGCTCACGTACGCCAGACAATGGTCGCAGTCGTCAACACGAAGCGCACAAGGACACACGACTTTGTGATTGGCCCTCTTCCCTCTCAGTCCCGTAGCGCTATAGAATGACGTAACCCGTACGGGTTATATCAACGAGAGGCCGGGCAACGTTTTCTTTGTATACATGTTTTGAATTAATATCGTGCAAACTATAGTAGTAAACATAAGTGAATGACAATTAGCGTTGTAACAAGGCAAACATTTATTTTAAAACCGCTTTATTGCCTTCACAATAAGTATGAAAAAATATGTTCGCATCAACAAGTCTGCATAAATATGTCGTCCAAATCCGTCCGCCTTCCATGACACTTATGATACCGGGTTTGCTACTTGGTATCTTACACATATACCTAGAATATCTTACTCAAAGATACCTAGAATATCTTTGAGGTCCGTACACCAATACCGATTACGACATCCCCAATCCCCGGGTCCCGGCTTACCGCGTCCCAGTCGGGGTGCACGTGGGCCAGGCCCTTGTACTCGATGTAGCTGGCGAAGCCCTCGTTGAGCCACAGGTCGTTCCACCAGTTGAGTGTGACCAGGTTGCCGAACCACTGGTGAGCCAGCTCGTGGGACACCACGGCGGCGATCCGCTGCTGGTTGTACGACGAGCTCGAGCGGGGGCTGTACAGCAGGTTCGTCTCCCTGTACAGTGAGAAAAGGCGTCAGTATAAGGAGCTCGAGCGGGGGCTGTACAGCAGGTTCGTCTCCCTGTACCATGAGGAGTGGCGTCAGTATAAGGAACTCGAGCGGGGGCTGTACAGCAGGTTCGTCTCCCTGTACCATGAGGAGTGGCGTCAGTATAAGGAACTCGAGCGGGGGCTGTACAGCAGGTTCGTCTCCCTGTACCATGAGGAGTAGCGTCAGTATAAGGAACTCGAGCGGGGGCTGTACAGCAGATTCGTCTCCCTGTACAGTGAGGAACGGCGTCAGTTTAAGGACTCGAGCGGGGGCTGTACAGCAGGTTCGTCTCCCTGTACAGTGAGGAACGGCATCAGTATAAGGAACTCGAGCAGGGTTTGTAAAGCAAGTTCGTCTCTCTGTGTGAAGGAGCTTAGTCAGGTGTCTGTATTCGGTAGCTATAATAAAGCAGCTATAATAATGCGGAAATATAGTAGTACCTGGTCATAACTGGATTTAACCCCCGCCGTGCTGCTGCCTGGTGGTCAGGTTTTACGTGTCGTGCTGGGGGGGGGGGGTTCCACGCCCCTTCCCCGTCTATCTCGGCTCCTGGTCCTGGGCCATGTAGCGGCACGCGGTAAGCGGCATTCGAAAGAGCGTGAAAATAATAACGAAAAACGAAACTACTTTGCCCTTTGGTCATTTCTTAGATCAGGTCAAAGGTCAAGTTACAAGAGGTCATCAAAGGTCGAATTTGGTCTATTCCAACAATTTTTAAAACACCTGACGCATAACTCTGGAACCAATGGAGCTGCAGCCTGCAGTGTTTCGGAAAAGCGCATTAGATAGCTCTTTTACAGGCCTTTCTGATCATTCTTCTTTGATTTGACATCTGGTCAACGGTTTAGCCCCTGCAGTCCAGAGGGCAAGACTAAAAAATAACATTTTTTACGAAAAACGTTCTACGGTAATAACTTTTGACTCAAGAGATCCACGACAATACTTTTGCCAGCATGTGTTCCTCTCGTCGAGACGCGTCGAATGAATCATAATTTGACTTTGAAAGGTCATTTTGAAAATTTGACCCCAAATCAAGGTCATGACCTGACCGGAAAGGGTCATATGTTGCATATCAGACGATCCGTATCAGCGTCGAGCTGAACACATCCAACGTCTTTTCACCTCTCTAGCACGTCTCTATTAACCCTCGCATGTGTGCGGCGTTTGCCAGCTTCTAATGTGTAGGGGGGGGGGGGTCGGTTGGACCCCCCCCCTTGCCGTTTGGCCCCTGATCGAGCTAGAGCTTCGCGGAAAAAACGAGCGTGTTGCCCGTGACGAGAGGAAGCCGATGATACCCAATTTTAAGGTCCTAGGTCATCGGGTGACCTTCCAGGTCAGGTCAATGACCCGAAAACCGGGAAAATCGGAACCTGTTAGAAAGTCGTAAAGTGCGGCTGCTATGTGGTTTTCCGGGGTGCTGATCACACGAATATCGTGTTAGTTTTGATCAGAGATGATGTCTTTAAGCATTTAGACCAGGTCGGGTCAGGTCAGGTCAGGTCAACCAGTAGGCATCGTGACGGGTATTCGTAGTACGTGTCAACCACCTCTGACAGCTTCGTAACATGTTACGAAGGCACCAAAACTACTTCGTAAATGTTCAAATGGTTGCTAAATTCGAATTCAGCTCCAAAAACTAGCCTAGAAACATGTACAGCTCGAAAAAGTGAACCGAGGTCACCCGAGGTCACCAAAGGTCAATGACCTGACCTGACCTTCAGGTGACCTTGACACCTACCCTAATGCATGGAAGCAACATCAAATCACATGTTTGAACGTTTGAAACCACGAAAAGCTTGCAAACGCGCGGCTAATGCGAGCCGACATACGCAGAATCGCAATTCCGGCCAAACATGGTCTCGGAAAAGAGGTCACAGGTCAAAGGTCATTTGGGTCAGGGTCATGAAATTTTCAGGGTAGGTGTAAAATTGATCAATGTGAGGGTACTGAAAGTTTCGTCGCGATCGGCCGCTTTTTACGCGAGTTATTTGCGAAAAACCATGGGGGGGGGGGTCCATCCGACCCCCCCCCCTACACATGCGAGGGTTAAAAGTTATAGTAAAAAAGTAATGGTGACCTTTCATGAAATATGTACATTTTCTACATATTGATACTCATATCAATCGCTGAAAGTTTCAAGGTGATCGTGAAGTCGGTGTAGCTACAGCGAACCTTTGAACGTTTTCTGAGGTAAGGTCACTTCACGTGACCTGGTGAACTGACCTTGAACGATTCCGGTCTGAAATTTTCACAATATGTGCGGAAAAGATGTATCAATAGGTGTACCAAAAACGGCGGCGCTGTAGGTCGTCTCTTTTTAGATATTCGCGAAAAACCGGAGGGAGAGCGTAAAAATGCCCCCTCCCCCAGCACGGCGCGGGTTAACCCGCGCCCTGCTGGGGGGGGGGGGTGTTTGAACACCCCCTTGTGGTTTTTCGCGAATATGACAAAAACGGCGGCGCGGAGCGCCGCCGTTTTTGGTACACCTTATCATACATCAATTCTACACATGTTATGAAAATTTCAGACCAAGGTCATTCAAGGTCAGGTCACCAGGTCACTTGAAGTGACCTCACCTCATAAAAAGTTTCAATGTCTGTCATAGCTACACCGAGTGACCGATCGCTTTGAAACTTTCAGCGATTGCTAAGAGCAACAGCATGTACAAAATTTATATCTCAGAATTTTGATATCGATGACCTAAGGTCAGGTCAATTTTGCGACCTCCCCATTATAAGTCAATGGGAGAAAATTGAAATGCGCCTCTTTTGGACGAAAGACATTATAAACACTCCCAAACACTGAATTACAAGTGGCTTAGACACACTGAACATGAAAATGGTGTCCGTGACCCCTGTCTATGCCCTGAGGTCATCTTAGGTCACGAATGGTATCTAACAGTTTTTCGCAAATAACTTTTGATAGAGGCATGCTAGAGCGATGAAAACGCCTTAGATGTGTTCAGTTCGACGATACGGATCGACTGATATGCAACATGACCCTTTCCGGTCAGGTCATGACCTTGACCTGAGGTCAAATTTTCAATTTGACCTTTCAAGGTCAAGTTATAGTTCATTCGATGCGTCTTGACGAGAAGAATACGATGCCGGTAAAAGTTAGCTCGTACAAGGCTTGGGTCAAAAGTTATTGCAGAAAAACTGTTTCCGAAAAAAATCGGCTATTTTTGCAGTTTTTGCCCCCTGCAGGCAAAACCGTTGACGTTAGGTCAAAGCTGAGAGAATTACTCAGAAAGGCCGTTAATAGGGCTATCGAATGCGTTTTCCGCGGCGCTGTAGCTCTATTGGGTCCCGATTTATGCGTTGGCTTCTTGGAAATTGTCGACATTAGACCTGGAAATCGGCGAAATTTTGCCTTCAATGACCTCTGGTGACCTGACCTTTGACCTGACCAAAAAATTGACTGAAGTGATTTCGACAATATTTTTGACGCTCTTTCGAACGCCGCCTTCCGCGTATCGCTACGTGGCCCAGGAGCCGAGTTAGAAGGGGGGTGTTCAAACCCCCCCCCCCTCCCCCCCCCCCAGCAGGGCGTGGAAATCCAAGACCCCAGCCGGGCGCGGGTTAATCGATAATAAACACCTCCAAATAAATACCTAAGCTAACTCAATACATGCGCATACCTATGAAAGCTCCACTGCCACTTGGAATGCAATCAGCAATGTGCAATATGAACTGCGTGCGATTTGAGCCTACTTGCATGTGAAATCGTCACCCATTGTTCTGCATTATTATGTAAGTATAAAGCCTCACGTCACTGCCACCTGTCCTGACCACAGGACGATACCAAATATGGCATGGATTGCATTTTGTATTAGCAAATGACATAATGATAACCATTGTTCCATTTCTCCATGTGGTTATTGCATAAATGGTCGTCGGCGATGACCAATTATTGACCAAAATTGAGATTACAACGAATAATGACTCATCTGACTCATCGTATAATTCGTTGTAATCTCAAAGCAAATGCTAACTTGGCACAAATATTTTAATGTCACAATAACTGAGAGCGCAATTTTACAAGCTTTCAACTAGATCTATCGGGTAGAATACTGAGCTAAAAACAAATGAGTATGTCACAGCTGGGAACACTTGCTCCGTGAATCGATTATATCACTGCCGCCGTATCTACCCCAGCTGACCGCACATCACAAGTGCGACCTGAGTAGCCGACCACATATCACAAGTGCGACCGGTGGCACCCCCCCCCCCCCCCCCCGAGAGGCACCACATGTAGTTGGTGACGTGATTGGTGATGTGATTGATGCTGTGATTACTACGTGAGGGAGGAAGTCTGCTCAATCGTGACAGATGGGCAGAAGAGGGGGACGCAGTTGATTACTGATTATCTGATCACAACAGTCACGCACAAACCATCTGTAAAATGTTATAAGGACAAAGCACATATTGACTACCCCACGATCTCTTCAAATACCGAAAGATGTTTTATTCCGATTATATTTCAGAGGAAAACCTGACACCCCGACTCACCGATACGTGATGAGGCCCCAGTGTTCCATGGCGCCCGATACGAAGTCGGGAATGGCAATCATGTCCTGTTTGGGCAGCGGGTACTTGACGCCGAAGTAGTCCTCGAAGAAGTCGGTGATGTTGGCGCCCACGTCGGCCGAGTACTGCGTGGAGGCCACTCGGTCCGGCGCAGCGTACACGCGGAACACCACGTCATGGTTCGTGACGCGCTCTGCAGAAATGACGGGGGCGTTCCACGACAAATCGACAAGTGCCCTGCACCCTCATATTTTATTTTTTGCTTAAAATTGGTCTAATGGGTTGTGATGGGCGGGGAAGCCAGCTGTGGCAAGGATTTTTTTCTTCGAACAACGGTTTCCGAGATATAGCCTCGGGCAATTCCTGGAGTTCGCGCTGCAGCCCTATGTTTGGCGGCCTATAACTCAGAAACTATTGTTTTTTACGATAAAAACTTTATATGGTTCAACTCACAATCAAACAGCAAACATTTTGGCTATCTCGGATTTTCAATTTTTGAAAATTTTGATCACGTGACCTTTTGTCCTATTTTTCGAAGAGTGACCTTGATATTTTCCCCACTGATAGTTGCAATTTTGTCTGATGACGATTAAAGCATTATCAATTGTCACTCATATGCGATAATAAAAAAAGTGGTTATCGCCCTGCGTTGACCTCAGGTCAGGTCATTTTTATGACCTGTCCATTATTACGAGCGGGAGCGACAGCGAGATCTCGAGAATAAAGCAAGATAGCGACAAGCGGTAAACGGTAAAGGGTACACACAGATAAGGTCTATAATTTTTACTAAGGTCATTTTCAGGTCAGGTCAAAGATGACGTCACAGGAGCTAAAAGGAAGTCAAAATAGCGGCACTATACATATATATGAAGTTTTTCTCGAATAACTTTCCAGGTATCCCACCTAGGAACAAACTAATAGCACCATCGTGATCCTCTCGTCGATCCGCATCGAAACATATGCATGTTGACCTCGAAAGGTCGAAAGGTCAAAAATTTACCTTAGATCACGTGACCTAAGGTCAACTTTTGACCTTTTGACCTTTCGAGGTCAACATACATATGTTTCGATGCGGATCGACGAGAGGATCACGATGGTGCTATTAGTTTGTTCCTAGGTGGGATACCTTGAAAGTTATTTGAGAAAAACTTCATATATATGTATAGTGCCGCTATTTTGACTTCCTTTTAGCTCCTGTGACGTCATCTTTGACCTGACCTGAAAATGACCTGGGTAAAAATTATAGACCTTATCCGTGTGTACCCTTTACCGTTTACCGCTTGTCGCTATCTTGCTTTATTCTCGAGATCTCGCTGTCGCTCCCGCTCGTAATAAATAATGGACAGGTCATAAAATAATAATAATGGACAATAATAATAATGGACAGGTCATAAAAATGACCTGACCTGAGGTCAACGCAGGGCGATAACCACTTTTTTTATTATCGCATATGAATGACACTTGATAATGCTTTAATCGTCATCAGACAAAATTGCAACTTTCAGTGGGGAAAATATCAAGGTCACTCTTTGAAAAATAGGACAAAAGGTCACGTGATCAAAATTTTCAAAAATTGAAAATCCGAGATAGCCAAAATGTTTGTTGGTTGATTTTGTGTTGAACCATATAAAGTTTTTATCGTAAAAACCAATAATTTCTGAGTTATAGGCCGCCAAACATAGGGCTGCAGCGCAAACTCCAGGAATTGCCCGAGGCTATATCTCGGAAACCGTTGTTCGAAGAAAAAAATCCTTGCCACAGCTGGCTTCCCCACCCATCACAACCCCTTACACCAGTTTTCAACAAAGAATAAAATATGAGGGTGCAAATTTAATTTTTTATTTGTCGATTTGTCGTGGAACGCCCCGACGGTCAAATTAGTGACACCGTGTCAGTGTTTGTGAATCGCTCTGGAGAAATGACGAGTCACGGTAAGTGTCATCGTGTCACTGTGTTTGTGACGCGTTCTGGGGAAATAACGGGTCAACGCTAGTAGGACTGTGTCATGGATGGTGACATTGCGTCATATTTAGTAACACCGTGTCATGGCCCGTGACACTGTGTCATATTTAGTGTCACCGTGTCATGCTTGAAAGAAGCTCTGGGAAAGTGATGTAACTTGTCAGTGACACACTATATGGAAAATACTCCATAAATAATTCATGTCAAAATGTTGACGACACGCTCTGCATAAAATACCGCGTCATTTTGCTGCCATCATGCCATCTGTAACACGGTGTTACTGAGAGTGGCACGAGGAAAACAATGGGTCGGTGTCAACGACACTTTCATCGCCGTGTTACATAAGCAAACAAATCATGCGCATTCTAAGCAGATTTCCTAAATACATCACCACATATCCCATTGTAATGTGCATTTATTCCGCTCGTGAGTCAGCTTACATCGTTATCATAACGTATCACAGGTGATGAACCCGTGGCTCGCGGAATTCATTATGGTATTCCCAAACACTGTTTGTAATTCAGTGGTATTGCTGTATCTCAGACAGCTTATATTTGGCCTGAGCCAGAGCAGGTGACAAACTAACTTCACCGCTTACCTTACTTACCGTATCCAACCGATAAACAGTGGACGCTTTGAGGACCGTAAGTAACTGGCCGCCGCGACTGGCTAAGTGTGTTCACCAAAGTTGTCCAAGTATCAACAACAACTAAGAATCGCACCATTAGTGTCAAACGCCGGCAGAGTTTATGCGCAAACAAGCCAGGGAGGTCGGAAGCTATCCCACAGCCTGGCTAAGTCTGAAGTGAATTAACGGTGCTCTTACTGGGTTCGGTAAATGTCTGTTTGGAATGCCGCAAAAGCAAACAAAATACCAAATATCAGCCTACAAATGAGTCGCTAGAGTTAGACGGTAACTGTGGTCTTCGAGGTTACAGTTACTAAGGGGTCCTAGCCCTAAATATTTAGATAAATTGGCTTTCAGTTTTGGTGTCGAGACATTGCCTCAACTGAGAGTCGACAATTTCCGAAATGCATCTATCGATATTAACGGATATGAAGAGCGTCTATATCATTCAGCTTACCTTGATAAGTGAAGTCACAAACGATGAAACAGGCCAGGTAGGTAACCATGGGGACCGACTTTTTGAAGTGCACCTTGGTCAGCCCCTGAGACGGCATGTCAGCCTCCTCGCGCTGGGGACAGAGGTCAGGTCAGGTCAACACCAGAGGTCAGCTTAGGTCATCCAGTCAGCAGCGAGCCTGGTTGAAAAGTCAGAGGCTGGGCAATGCCAGATATAAGAGGGCTGGCATTTGTTCCCTCGATGCCAAAGGAAGTTTTGGCATTTGTGACATCTGACACAAGGCAGACATACATATATTACAAGTAGATGATGCAGCGAAAATTGTCAGTTACATACGAAAGGTTTACGAGATAAAAAGAGCAAAACTGTATGTAACGTGTAAATAAAAGAGCTAAAAAGGTTGGTAAAATAGGTAATATAATGAGGCATAAGAGCTGAACTTGAATAAACAAGCCAGGCCACCATTAATAATCAGGAAGCAGAAGCTGCAATACAGCGTAATACAAATACAGTCCCTTCTGCAGGTGTGGCATTGTTCTCTTCCGCCCCACAGCATAGCTCCCTCTGCTGGCTATTCACTCACTTCGACGGGCATATTGGAGAGCGCGATGTAGCCATCCCCGCTGGGCCGAACCAGCGTCGTACTGAAGGTCGACTTGAAGCTGGGCTCGTCGAAACAGGGGAACGCACGTCGCGCGAACGTCGGCTGGAACTTGGACGTGGCGATGAACCTGTGGAAGGCCGTGACGTCAGAGGAGATATTCATAAAGCACACGCCATGAGAAAGAGATGAACGTTCAGAAGGAACAGGAATAAGATTCAGCTATTAGCCGCACGTGGTATGAAATATGAATACATGCAAAAGACAAAACGGAAATGGATATTGCACAATGACATAGATGCAGAAACCTTTTGGGATAAAAAAGGAATTTCATTGCTGACGAATCAACTGTATGTATCGGTAAAAGGGGAAAGTGAGGCATTGTTGCGTCGATTCTCTCTTCCAATAAATTGCGGTGCCCGTTTGCGGCGACATTGAAAGACATCAGCTCCCTGCTACTGAACTCTGAGACTTCTCTAAGCGACATCGCAACTGGCAAACTGGTGAAACATTAGCATTTCACTGTTTATCCTGTGTTGCCATCAGTAACTTCAATCGATCAAAGACACGCTATGCAAATTTATTCTTGTTTATCTGCTAAGTGCTACAGAGCTTTATATATCTACTACTAAGCTCGTTTCCACTGACCTCTTCTGCCCTGTGTCTCCGTTAGTGTAGACGCTCCGGTAGAGCCCGGTGATGGAGCGGGTCAGGTTACCGCTAAACTCCAACGACAGCGTGTAGTTTCCCGGCGAGATGGGCTGACCCGTCTGCACCACCCAGAACTCGTTCGGCTCGTACTCGAACGCCCGCTTCACCTTCACCTGTCAGGGGTCAGAGAGGTCAGCCGAGGTCAGGGTCGGAGGTTAGCCATAGGGGAGCCAT